CTCCCATACCCCGATCCAAAAATTGGTATTTTAAAGGGAAAATTTACTATTTCGTTTTTTCGTTGGGTTAACTTTGTATTAGTTCATTAATTATATATAGGGCCTATATGTTTTTTTTTAATGCTGTATGTATGTATAATATTGTATCGAGATTGTATTTCTTTGATAACAATAAAATTATTTTTACATTAAATACATAGTTTTTACCACCTTAATGGATGCCATCTTGGAATTTATCATGATGACGTCATCATTCCGATCAAATTTTTAAATGAGAGTGATGAGTAACCATTTAGCCAAGTTTTTGTTACATTTCATATCCACAGTATATGTAAAAGTGATCAAAAACATAAATTTATTTCCCCTACCCCCATCTTAAATAGTTTAAAATAGGGTATTTTAGGTCAAAATTTCAAAGTGCTGTAAACAAATTTGCCCAAGCCCTAGGCATGGTAATTTTGTATAATGGCGGATCTAGAAATTGTTCTTGAGTTTCTTTAAGGTTTCCAATGCTCGCATGTTACTCATTACGTCTTAGCAGAAGCTTTCCCATGTTGCATAACATCTATGTTATTAGAAAAGCAGCTTCAGTCTGAAGTACGGTAATTCTTAACATTGTTGTAAGCATCCTATTAGTTATTTCTGCACAGCTGCTACCTGCATTTCCTGTTACATAACATCAACAGTTTTGAACAACATGAAACAACAACAACCTCTTATGATTTTTGTTTGTTTGTTAAAGTGCTCATGAGCCAGTTAATTATGGTTCTCACTTCTATTCTCATTCCAACAACATCTGAGTAACTTCAGACACTTTTACTAGAGTACGCTAGTTTAGAATTAGATATTACTGTATAGAATAAAAGCATTAAGCATAAAACGAAGATACACTAGTCATCTCTTTATGCACCCCGTCTCAACGTAATTATACATCAATGTTTTACTTTTAATTTTAACTTGAAAATTTTAGAATTCTACTTTGAACACTATTCCTCTTTCCCCCTTTAACTGTCAGTTTTATTTATCTGAACTCTATATAACTCTACAACAACACTAACATATAATATCTTTAAATTGCATTTTCTGTGTATTATTCGCAATTATCATTTCTAACTTTCATTCAAATATAACCTACAGTAACACTACCAAATGGTATAGTATGTTAATGATTAACCATAATTAATAAATACAAAAACTGTAGGCCTGATGCCAGAAAGGTACATGTATGAATTCAATGTTTGTCATTACCGTGACATAGGCCTATTGTATATTTGTCACACTCGATAAATTTTTCATCAGATTTTCATTCTTATGTTTTTTATAATTTTTCGTAGTAATAACCAGCTTTATATGATGCTTTAACTTCCAAATGTAATTATTTAAGTAATTCAACTGTTAAAGTTGTTTAGGCTTACTTTAATTATTTAGCAAAAATAATGACATATTTAAAAAATTTTCCTTCCAAATCTTTTGGTCATCATCATAAAAAAAAAGATTCAATGAATTTCGTACTGTTCTGACTTACCATCCGCGAATATTACTGGTCAATACATATTACGTACGGTATGTTATAGCCAGAGACTTCGCTATTTCATTTCCTTTGTGTATTTTCGATGCAAAAATTCTGATTAACAAAATTCATCCTTATTTAAATTTAAAAACTGATTATAACTAATTCAAGAAGATTCATTCCTAATAAATATTTTCTTATCTTTTGTTTTGCTTTGTCAAGTCAGGCATTACTTTATACATTTTATGCCTGTATTTATTCAGAAATTCCGATGTTGTGCCTTATGAAGAGTTTCTGCGTTATTTTCTATGTTAACGAGCCTTCATTAAAATACACAATGTTTCAATAAATGCGCTTATATGGTACCTTACCATGGTAGGCCCTAAGTAATATGCTAGGCCTACTTTATATTCATAAATTTTTGTACACTATTATTAATAATTTAGATATGGTAATAGTATCTAATTGATGTTTTAGACTACCGAAATTGTATCACATGCAAATATGTCATATAGAAATGTTTAATATGCTTTGAAAATAAATGCAATATACAAATAGATAGGGACATCCGTAATATCAACCGCAATGCCAAATTATTATTCTTCGTCGTCAAAATTCAAAGAGTTTGGTCCATTGGGCAAGTAATGATCAAGTATAATATCGACAACGATTTGTGAACCCCTCTGTTGTTTGTCACTAAGAAGGAGATCATCGTCCAGAAAATACGCAGGTCTGTTCCTAGGAAACTCCTTGAATTCGTCAAATGAAACCACACTGGAGCTGCAATTACGAGACGCGCTACCATTTCTTAGCATACGTTTAGACGCCATCTCCACGGAGTTAATGCCACACGTCTGTAACAGAGACTCCAGATGGATACTAGAAAACATTGTATTTTCTGCTACCATAGCTTTGGGACAGATGCTATGCTTCTCAATCTGGTTCCAATTCTTCTGCGGCTCATTGAATGAACAGTTGTTCATATTATCGCGTTTCCCACCAAACAGTTTCAGCCCATCTAGATCTAAGCCTAATTGATCAACTTTGTAATTTGAATGTTTGATCTCTTGTAATTTTGTTCTTTGACCTGACTTTTTTGTTATCTCGAATTCTTCCCTGTACATGATACGTCCCCTGAGTGGTCTAGTTCTACGGTTACGTTTACGTCTTGTTTTATTTTGTTGCAGTTTCTCCTGACGGAGTGTTTTCTTTTCTTTACAAGTTTCAGGGCAACTCGATATGCTAGTTCTAACATGGTTTTCTTCAAGATCGCTACCATCATCAGAGTCGAGCAGCCCAGGTTTAGCCTGGACACCTCGATGTGTCTTCTCTGAAATCTTTTCACTACATGTCTGTGTACCACATTCCTCCGTTTTTGAAAATATTTCACTATTCTTGATATGTGTTTGATTTACGTTATCGAATGATCTAACCTCGGATGTTTGGACTAATTCTTGATTATCGCTGAGAGTCAAAATCAAAGTGTGTTCTTTTGATTTGCAGGCATCGTTCGTATAAGATGTTTCTTCTACTTTATCACCATGAGCTTTTAAAATAATTCTTTTCATGCTATTCATTGGCAATGCCATTAAATATGATTTAAAATTCTCGCTGATTTGATTGACAAGTGTTTCTTTACATTTTGGGATAGTGAATTCGACATCATCGGTTTCGTTTGTTGGTTCTTCTATTTTGGCAACCGAATCGGTATATTTTGGCATATCGTCTTCATAACCAGACTCAGGCGTCTGTGGTTGGAACGCGTCAGCATCATAATCAGTTGATAGCATATCTTGATCGAGCATCGTTTTTCCTTTTAAATGATAATCATTTACCATTAATCCATTGTTTTCCGAATAATATGAGAATGTAATGGTCGGTGCTACACTTTTTTCCAAAAGCTTTTCGGTGCTTATTGTGTCCACGTCATGTGGTTGGTTGTCTTGATAATTTCTCTCCATACCATCGATGAACGCTTCCGTCGACTCTTGAGTTGGCCGGTTGTCAACAGTTGAACTTTTAAATTCAGATACTTCATGATAGCCATCGTTGTCGCACTTATTCTGGCCTGTACAACTGTTGCTAAATGACAGTCCATTCAATCGATTGACATCGCTACGGTCTTGTTCATCGTCGTCGTCCTTGTCATTACCGTCTTTCCGACTTTCTTCGATGTCTAACATCATTGTAACACTCCCTTGAATCATTTGTAGATATTCACGAATCCGTGCAATACAAGAATCCATTTTCTCGATTTGACTAACTCTACCTTGCTCTGCAAATTTATCTTTCAACCTACAGAATTCATTGAGAGCTTCAATGAAATATTTCTCAGCATCTCTTTTCTCATTTCGTTGTTCATGGAGTTTGCCAAGACTCTCCATGACCTCGCCCAACTCTGTACTCAAGTGTTTTTCCGTACATACATTTTTACGAATATTGTAACACTTGTTAAAGAACTTCAATGCGTCATTCAAGTCATTCAATTTAATTTTTATTGATGCTAGGTTATACAATGCTCTTGCCGTGGACTCGTGTTGACCTTGTAGGTTTTCTCTGATTCGCACGGCTTTTTCATATTGTTCCATTGCCTTGTGGTATTTACCCTCATATTCGTAGACCCGGCCCCGATTGTTAGCGATCAGAGCTGTGTCGACATGTTCTAGGCCTAAAGATTCCCTCATCTTGTACGACTCATTTAGAAGCTTGTGAGCTTTTGCCGGGTCATTTTTATATAAACATGTGTTAATTGCGACATTGTTTAAAGAAACTATAATATCGTTGGCTGGTTGTCGATTAAAACGCTTTTTGGTTTCTAGTCCCATCTCTGAATATGATAAAGCTTTAACTCTGTCACCCATCCTAATGTAAGCTAGGCTGATATTGTTATAAGTTCCTCCAATCGTTGGATGATCTCCCCATAGTTCCCTTCTCAATTTCAACACTTTTTCGTGGTATTCAATACCACGCTCAGGTTTATCTGTTGAGAAGAATAACCATAAACAATTATGAGGTCCATATATATCAAACATAGTTAAGGATAAAACATATTAGATGAATCCCAAAATCCGTATACATATAATATAGTATATTTGAAAAAGAAACCAACTACAAAAACTTTCATAATAGGTCTACATTAATAAAGAAAAATTGTTATCACTGCAAATAAAAAATGTATCAGATAATGACAAACTTTATTATGAAAACTTTTATTTTCTCAGTCTTTTACTGGTGGAACCAGGCTTAAAGCCCTTCTGGGCTTATCTGGCTTTTTCCAGACATATTTGCATTTTCTATACTTTATAACTAAATTTTGGTTTTTGTAATTTTTGATGATGCATTGTGAATAAAATTGAACCTGAACTTGAAAAATCCTTAATCTCCACCGCGACCCGAACACGGGACCATTTGCGTACACGACAACGTCATAATAACCACTTGACGACAAAATGCATTGTGGCAAATTCTGAGTAAAGGAATGCTTTTTATCATTCTTTGCCTGGCGTCACTATGTCGACTTAGCCCTAACGACACATGGGTCATAGACTTACCGAGTACAACATATGAAATTCCCAAACACGACCAGACAGAAGCTAGGATCCTTTTCCATCGATTGTCTTGTTTCCTGTCATCTTCACTCATTCGCATTAAGGTTTTTTCAGCGTCAGTAAAATATCTATTAAAAAGAATAAGAAAAAAAAAAACATTATGTAAAGTTAGTAGGCTGGTAGAAATATTTCAAAATACTGTATTGAATAACGTGCACCCTTTATCAACTGAGGTACTAGTATCGTTTTGCTTATAACAAAAAAGAAATGTATCTTGTAGTTGTAGCCTACACTAAGAAGATAAGGCTTCCTCCAGATTCCTTTTAAATTCTGACACATAATCGCAATTTTGTGACAAATATGTCTACCTTTGGTTTGCCCATATATGGGTGTGTATGACACATGTGGTCACATCACAGAAAACATGATGGTATGAACAAGACGGCCTAATACCATGTTATTTAAAATCTCATCTGAAAGACCTGCGTGAAACTATATCTAGAATTTTGTATTTCCACCTTCTACCTAGATGGAAATGTTCAATATGTGCCGCTTGATTCGTTCCTAGCTATACTGTCTTTATCATGCTAGTTGTTTAAATCAAAGTATGTTAAATTACTTGAAAGCTTTTAGCCTGAGTCCTTGCATGTGCAAATTCCAACCAATGTGATTTAACAGCCATGCCAGATCAACACTATCTCCGAATGGAGCTAGGTAGCCAAGCGCTTCTTCGTACTGCTCTTGTGCTACCTTCCAGTCTGATTTAGTGAAGTTGAGTGCTTGACCGTACGATGACAACATAAGTCCAAGATGTTTTTTCTTCTGTCGACTCTCGGCCGCCCGAACACAGGCCGCGTAAAACTCAACTGATTCTCTACGTGGAAGAAAGTTAATAATAAGGTATTCTGCTTTACAGGCAATGTCGAGAAATAGATCGTAATCTTCCGTGGGACACAAAGTAGCTTCGTATAAAAGTTTTTGAATGTTTACAATCTCTATAGTGAATAACGGAAGATTCTTGCACGAATCGACTTCAACGACCGGTGCTAACGCTTGGAGTAATTTTCCATAAAACACGCAATAACGATTACGTAGACATATCTTTTGTTCTAATGGGAGCAAAACTAATTCATCGGATAGATATTCACGTAAAAAATCATGTATATCAAAGCGATCACGCAAAGTGTCTTTAGCGACAAGTGAACGTGTTGTCAATGGAATAAGGACGTCCCTTTTAGCCAGAGCTGCTTTGCTGTCATGAATATCAAGTATATAGGCTACAGCATCGGCGTTAAATGAAGAAGGGATGTACGACAGTTTAACGTACTCTTGTCTTATATATTTCAACTTATCGACAGAAGACTTAATCACACGACGAACTTGTTCTTCTTGACTGGAATTTTCAGCGCTTAATGTTTCTAAACGATCGTTTTTCAGCAATTCCACAAGTTCTTTTGGAGTGTAAGAATAATCTTGAAGTTCAGTGGCAGCAATTGCCAAAGCAAGGGGGATCCCTGCACAATATTTAGCAATCGTTTCATCTGTTTCGTCAGTGAAGTGTACATTTACTGCAATTGACTTCAATAGATAAATAGACTCAACGAGACTCAATGATTTCAGACGATGGTGGTACATCTTCGCACGAATTTTTAACAATCTGTATCGAAATCGAGACGTTATTATGAGGAAGATTTTATTGTTGACGAGTCTTTCACAGAAGTCTAAAAATTGCGTCTGCAACTCAGCAGACGTATCAACTGATAGATGCTCTGCTGAATCGAATATTATTAAACACGAGTGTTTTGCTAAAACGTCTAGCAAGTCGTATACAGAACATGGTGGAATTCCGAGAGCTGTGGACAATCGAACAAGTACTATACTGAAATCTGTTACTTTCTGCAGTTCGATGAAATAGGCGTCAATTCGCTTTCCTGAATTGTAGCAATCTCTTACAAACTGGTGACCAATTTCTTTCGAAAGACGTGTCTTACCGATCATTGGTTCACCTGTGATAAGTACGAGCTGTGCTACTGGTTTTTTAACGTCATTTTTTCTAGAGAGCACAGCGTTCATTAAAATCTCTTTAATATTTTCTATTTCTGTTTCTCTCCCGATGAATGCAAACTGCTCATCCGATTGACCAATGTGATCCGTTGCCAACATGTAGTCTGAGTCCACCATGATCGTACTTTGATCCTGAAAGAAACAATTGAGATCAAGTAAATAAGGTAGTGCGTATCAAACTGCAAGAATTTCAACTCAGAAGGATAATGAGTCTTATTATTGTCCAATCACTGAAATAAAATAAATAAATAAATAAAATAAAGTAACTATTGACTATTGAATTTACATACTCAGCTCCTCAATAATATATTTCATTACACCGCAGATAACCTACAAGTATCCACTTATATATATGGACAGAACGATCAACAAAGACAGAATTAGAACAGTTTTGCGACTTAATCGAGTGCATGTCACATATGGTAACTTCTACAGGGTATGCAGCATAAACAAACATTTGTAATGAAGATTGTATAAGGTCCAACCTAAAAGTACCCAAACTGTTTGACATGAATGCCTTGTGAATGCCCACAACGTTTCGTCTTTCTCTTTGTGTCGGAAAACCAGCCAACAGAAGTTGTGTAGTGAATTTTCCAACATTATTAAGATTGCGGCATTTGATATCGTTATCCATCCAACAATTTGACACTCAGTTTTCGGTATTCATCCAACAATATTATTACCGTACTTAGAACTTACATTCATTTTTATACTGAATTCATGGATGAACAGAGGTGAAAAAACAACTTCATGCCAGTCGGACCCTCTCCACCCACCACCACCTCTATATTCTCGATTATCATAATAAAACTTAAACTATTACTTATAGATTTTTCTGTAATACAGAAATTATAAACGTAAACCAGACAGTAATCGAGTTTTCATAACTGTGCTGTTGAAAAGTTTGTCGTGACTGCCATGTAGACTGCTGATTGTCAGCGATCTTCAAAGGGCCAATTATGTATCCATGAAAGGTTTTATCAATCCATATTTATCCATACTTTTATTAAACCATATTTATGAAGAACATGTTGCTTGACTCGAAATCAGTTGTGTTGCTGTTTTTTTTTTGTTTTTTTTTTATTAAAGGACTCCAAGAATAAATAGGCCTACATATTACCATAACATCGGAGTCATTAGAGGTGACCAGGTATCATGGTGATTGCAACAACAATACCGGTAAGGGGTGATGCAATACAACCAAACAAGTTCATTTTGAATTGTGGGAATTTTCCAAAATCGAGATTAGACGCGAAGTACTATCACTCTCAGACACAGAAAGGTAAACGTAACAAGAGAGTACAGATCATATCCATGACGTTGCCGCAGCTAACCTTTTCAATCAGGTGACTTACAAGCCTAAATGATAATATATTTTTTATGCATATATAGGCCTATTGCAAATACGTCATATTAATGCATATTTTATGAGGCCTACCAGGGGCGGATCCAGATATGTCCAAAGGGATGGGGGGTCGGAAGGGGGCCGAAAGTTGGGCCGATTGAGACAACACTGTCGTAAGGAGTCCGGGGGCATGCCCCCGCGAAATTTTTGTGTTCTAGACGCCCGAACATAACATTTGAGGCATACTTGGCCATCGTTTTTTTCTTTTGCTCTCTTTTTTTTCTTTTTTTACCTCCCGAAAGGGGGTCCGGGGCCGGGCCGCCCCCCCCCCCCCCAAATCCGCCCCTGCCTACCCCTGGTCGTTTGATCAATACGGTATGCCATAAAACACAAGGTTCGATTTGCAGCCGTATTTAGTGCAGTAGCAAGCACACAAGTCAGGTACGGTACCAATTTAACTACCCCTGGATGGAGAGGATTGGTGCAAATAAGCGCCTTGCCTGAACACAAAAAAATATGCTACCCAGCCTCAGACTTAAATCCGGAAACTTCTGACGGATCTCTTGATTTAGAATCCAAGAGAAGAGCCATAGTTACCGCAGCACTATGCACTTACGACAATGTGAATTTGAAGGTTATTTTATCGTTGGCCACAAATAACATAATAACATTTTTTTTAAGCGCTCTACCTTAATTTTGGGGCCAACAACATCTCTAGTAAATGCAAAACAGGAACCGAATTCACAGGGTTTTCTGAACACCACTGTTTAGGAACTGGTCTGGATGGAGTATGTACTTACAGAGGAGTGGGGCTGCTGCGTTGGCGTTGGCAGGTAGGAAAATTACATTACAAGCGACTGCTATTTCAAGTATAGGCTGTTTTGTACAGTACAGTAGGCCCTACCTCTTGTTTTACTCTACAGCATATCAAATGTAATTATCAATAAAATTGATGTTTTTATATCGTTTGACATGCATTTTCAGTCTTCTGTACTCTCAAAACACAACAAAACTGTTTTCTAAACTCAAAACTGTTTTCTAAACACAACACATTTTCGTCGTCCCGATGACCTTTCCCGAGGGAGAGACCGCGCCTCCCAAACCCTGCCCGCCAATTGTTTATTTTTTTTTCGAGGGGTGCGGTGGTGGCGTGCAAACGCGTGCTTTGATTGGGATGACATCAGATCGCCCAAAGTTTCATAGTGCGTGACATTTTAGAGATAAATATAAATAAATCTGACAAATTGAAATTTCATTCTCTACAAATTTCCTCCGTAATCATGGGCGGCGAAAGCATATAATTGAGTAGTACGGCGTTAAGAAGCTGATTTTTGTGTTTGGAATTAGGAGAGATTCGAATTTTCGGAATATATGTATTATTTTAAGTAATATAATAACTATTGTTTTAAATAACGAACTTTTAGCGATCTCTCGTAGCGTGGAACGGATTTTTACAGGTACTGATCGGAATGTTTGCTTCAAAACTGCTCATGCGTGTCATACGCATGTCCAGAACGATTTATCTCTGTGGGATTTTCCACATCAACTTGACAGTGTCTGTAAATCTGTACTGAACATGCGGTGAAATAGGTTCGCTTAGCGAGGTGATATTTCCGCTGTTCGAAGATTAAATTTGTTTACAGTATATGAAAATTTGCTTTCGCCAGTTTTGGCGAACGATAAAATGTTTTTCTTTCTTCGCCAAAAGGTATCTCCACTCGCCGTTGGCGAATTTTTAATTCATCTACTCGGGGCGCTCACGTTTGTAATTAACCGAAAGGTCCATTGATTAATCTCAGATAAGATTAAGATAGTATAATACATACTCCAAGTATCGAAATGCCATCGTGTCGGGATTCAATATTTCGACATTAATTATTTCATTATCAGGCGACATAATTAATGTCGAAATATTGAATCCCGACACGATGACGTGCATTTCGATATTTGTAATTAAAGTCACAGACCTTAAGCCTCTTTTATTTTTTTAAAGTACATATCAGTACAGTAAATTCAGTAATGTAATTTAACATAAATACAAATATCATGAACAGCAGTTGCGTGGAGTCTTTAAATGGGGGAGGGGTGGTGCTGGTGAGGGATGCGAAGATAAATGGGGGTTCGATGATACGGTTAGGGTACTAGATCGGGTG